ATTTATCACTGATGAAAAGTAAACAGCAAACAAACAAACAAACAAACATACAAATTCGAGTCGCTTTTTTTGACACTCATTTGGGTGTTGTTTGCTGCTGCTGTTGAATTTATATATATATATATATATATATACATATATGTATATATTTCTTTGTGCCGTTGCAGCATTTCTGAATTCATAGCTAAATATTTGAGCGATTTCCATGTCGCTACTCATTCATGCCCATTGTACGGAAGGGATTAAATGTCACATGAAACACTTTGGCAACTTTGATGCACAGTTCTCCATGCCCCGTCCCAGTCACAGTCTCTGTCCCTGTCCCTGTCCCGGATCAGCTGCTGTAACAAAATAGCCAAATCCAACAGCAGCTGTCAGCAATTTGAGTAGGGTAAAGAGCTTGAGCTGCCTGTGCCACATCAAGTGGCCGACTCGACTCGAACTCAAAGACTGGAGTTGCAAACTTGCAAGTTGTCTATGGAAACGATACACCAAACTCAAGCTGAGTATCTCCTCCAGTAACAATGGAGATCACAATGCGTTTGATTTCAATGCAATAACAAAAACACAAAAAAGATGGGAGGAGAAAAAATCACTTGAAACTCAGCTGCGGGTCAAAGTTTGAGGTCAGCTTAGAAGCAACGAGATATATTGACAGTTCTCCAATCAATACAATTACTTAAATCTGTATGTTGTGCAACTAAAAGAAAAGATTTATGTGGAACTAAGCTCAGGGATTAGACATGTGAGCTTACTTTGCAATTCAAAATAAGTGGGAATACTCTGACACCAGTCGATAACAGGTGGCACGGAACCTCTTTGTGGCTGTGTGTGAGGTGGCAGTGGCTGGGTGTGCCTCGAAAGTAGATACAAGTTTTCTAGGTTATTGCGAGCAGAGCGTGGAGTGAAGATGTTCCTAGTTATCGGGAGATATAGGCTAAGGCGATTTTTGGGGCTGGGGTGGATTTTCTCTGGTTTCTTAAGATGTTACTAGCAATATACCTTTCCAAGTTCAAATTATGTGAGATATATAGTTCTATCGATTTATACCATATAAATGGCTTTGGCTTTTTTTATGACTATCTATTTTCAGCAATCTACCAACCTCATCCTAGTGGAGTTAATACCCCGTCGATTTAAGAACACATTCAAAAATGAATTGAATAAATGCAATCAATTTATGAACTCTCTTTATATTGGTTCTATATTTGTATCTTAGTCATATCACTCCGAAACCGTTCCTAATTGAGATTTAGTCAAGCTTTGACTGTAAACCTTTTGATTAAAAACTCTTAATTACGCTTATGTAATTACTAAAGCTATATTCACAATACTTTAGTTTTTTATTTTTAATATATTTATACAGTGACTTTAGTTATTAAATGTTGTTCTATGAATATCAGCTGAGATTGCATTTTTTCTTCTTGATTGATTTTGGTCGACATTAAACAAATAAATAATTTAAAATGCTCAACAAAGATAACATAACTTATTATACAGATAATGCAAATAAATCAATTCTTTTTTATTCAGATGATTTAGATGTACCTATTTATATAATTTATTATCTTTAATTTCAGACCTAATTGAATAGTTCTTAAATGGCCAACAAGTTCTGCAATCAATGAAAAATATCAATGTATAATTTGCAATACAATTTGGCTTTGTTCAGCATACACAATATTAATAATCAATAAATCATTATTGTATCGAAACAAATTTGAGTTTGTGGCCAACGGTTTGTGGTTTGTGCAGTCAATTGATAATGTGCATTAGATATATATGCAGTAATATATATATATATATACATTTATGTATGTATGTATGCAGTCAACTAGCTGTAATCAGATGCGAATCAATTACATTTCATTTCGTATAGAAGTAATGCGAGTACTCGCACAAAGTGCCCAGAAATCCCTCCCTATATGAAAACTGTGCAACTTGCCCAAATTAGAAACAGATGACGATGATGATGATTATGATGACGATGATGACGATGATTAGATGATGCTGATAAGGAGGCATGGCGAATCATAAGATGGATATTCATTGAATCGTGCCATTTATTGCATGCCACATGGCCATGCAGCCAAAGATGTCTTGGATTCGGTTTCGGTCTCGGTTTCGCTTACAGCGCCTCAACGTTTTGCAACATTCACACTTTTGGGCTTACTTGTCATTGCTGCCACAAGCTACAACTCCTCCTCCACCTCCTTCGCATGTTGTTATTGTTGTTGTTGTCGAGCCAGTGATATGCCAATAACAATAAAGCACACACCCAGCGGGCGTGCCACAGTCAGAAGGCAGCAGGCCAGAGGCAGGAGGCAAAAGCGTCTAAGTGAAACCAAAGGACAGTGCCACTGGTAAGTTGGGAAAGGTGGAGGGGGGCGGGGCGTTTGCTCCGGAGTTTGGCAGCAAACATAGTTAATCGTTATTTACAGACAGATAAAGTGCAGAAATATTGTCGAGCAGCAGACGTCGAGGAAACGGTAGCTCATGTATCTCATGCGACCACCAAATGTCGAAGTCGAACCAAAAAAAAATGAGAAAAATAAGAAGAGATTTGTTTTTTTGGGGGTGTCGAAGTTGAGATGCTCTAGCAGACAACAGGTAAGCTATATTATACATTCATTATATTAGACTGTTGCTGAAAAGTTGCTGTCAATATGCTAAAAGTAAAAAAAGCTGGCAACTGCTGAGTTTTCATTTGAACAAGAGTTGAGTTATTTATGCGAATAAAGCTAGTAAATTTTAAATTTTGTTGATTTTTTTTCAGCAAGAGTTGAATTTTTGTGCGACAGATCCTATGATAGCCATAGGGTATAATTTACTTTATATAAAAATAGCACAATAGGTCTAATAACGACCACTTTACTTTATAATTAATTTCTAACACGTTTGGAACAAAATTGGCTTGTACAAAGAATTTATATATTGAAACAAACAGCATTATTTAAAAAAATGCACATACATTTTTAAATATAATTTTTCATCGATTGTAGCTACAACTATTTAGTAAATCAATCTAAAATAAATAAACTTTATATTAAACATGTAGTTTAATTATTATAGTTTTGAAACTGGTCGGTCTGCCTGTTGATGCTAATCCAGAACATATTTGTATATAGTTTTCTGTGTACTCAAATGCTTGGCAATTTCATAATACCCATTGCAAGGGCATACAATACGAAGAATGCGCATACGGCGAAAGTAATCGGATTCCCATGCATGAGCCCAAAAGTCGGAGGCGGAGGCTGGGGCTGTGGCAGAAGCAGTTGCGGAGGCAGAGGCAGAGGCTGAGAGCTTGGAGCAGCGATAACGAGCTGGGGCGAGAAGCAGACAAACTGCAAGCCGCAAGGCAGTCAGGGCAAAGCTGGCGGGGGGCGGGCCATTGCCAAGGCTCGTAAATTTGCGCTTTTGCGCCAGGCCAAAAAGCAGAGAATAGAACATTTAGCCAAGGCAGTAAGAGCCACGCCCCGCACCCGCCCATTCCTCGCCCTTGTCCATGCATTGCTACTTGCCAGTTTTTGTCTCCGCCGCTTCCTGTGGCCGGGCGTCAGCAATTTCGTTGCGGAAATCCATTGGCCAGGAGCAGAAGCAGCAGCAACAGCATCCGTAATGTTTTGAGCCCATTTTTTTCTTCTTTTTTTTTTCTGTTTGGCCCACACGCTGCGCCTTTTCACACCATAAACTCAGCTGTGCGTTTAACTCGTTGCCCATTTATTTTGGCTACTACGTTGGGTAGCCAAATTCTTCGAGTCTGTTATCAAATTCAATTACCTAAAGCCGGAAATGCGTATGCCTAGGCCATAAAACTGGCAGCAGCAACTACAGCTACCCACCCGCCCCCTCACCAACCCAAGAAGATGCCTCAAGATGAGCCATTTAGATAGAGATTTTTTCTCGAGTTTCATGCTGCACAAAGGTGTTAAGCAAGTCGTTCTAGACCCATAAAAAAAAAATCAGAGAAATTATCTAGAATACAAGACTAGAAGTTACCCATTATCCTATAATACATTTGACAAAATTAAGAAAAAGAAAATAATTTGGAGCATATAAAAATAAAATAGAAAAAATTGATTGAAAAAGAAAATACTTAATCTTTGATCTGTGATTTAAGAGAACGAATTCAGATTCGTATAGTTTTCGACAATTTACCCAAATAAATAGTAGACTTGGTTCCACATTTTCCCTTGCTTTTTAAATATGAAAGATGCAATTCATATTCTCTGAAAAATTCGAAAGTTCAAAATTTTCCACCACCAAAACTTGGTTCAAACTGAAACGATTCTTTTATATTTAAATAAAAACTGTTGTTAGAGTTCAACACATAATTTTTGTTCGATATTCACGCGAAATAATTGAATACATTTGTTACTGCACATTTGCACAATTTCATCATAAATCTTAACCGATTTTCCACGCCTACAGGGTATACAATAAAAGCAAGGCTTAAATAAGCGACAACTCAACTTGGCAGTGGTAATACCAAAAGATTAAGAGGCTGACCCAAATTCAGAGCCAGAGACTGTAGTTAAGAGTCAGTTGCCTTGTTTTGATAATTTAATTTTTGGCAGCATGTAATTAAAGATTGTAAGTTTTAATTACTGGTCCCAAGCCGAGTCGACCTTGCTGTTACCAGCAATTGTTGTTCGTTTCACTGTGTGGCATATGCAAAGCATGCCCCAGCCCACAGTTGACCACATAAACCACAGAGCTCAAACGAGCGCAAGCGAAACGCCAACAATACGATTAATGACACCACATGGTCAAAACTTGAAAATAGTGCTCCAATGCAGAATTGACCCTTTCGACATCCCCAAAAATATAATGTCCAGTAACCGCACAGGAAATTAAAATTTGGTACCACCAAATGCAAAAGATGTGTATATTGCTGACAATATCCGTTGTGTGAGGGCTGCTTGCTGCGGATGTGTTTGGGGGTGTTGATTGTTCGGGGGTATGGTCTTTAGGACTATTCGTATTTTGGGAATACTCACTTTGTGGAACTGCTCCTGCAAACGCAGCAGAGTGCCTTCAACCTCAATCAAGCGCTTTTCCAACAATGCCTGCAAAAACAACAAAAAGAAAAGACGCAAACTGAAGAACAAATGCATTTGGCTAAAATAGCTAATAATGGCTAAAATGCTACGATAACTGAGCAGATCACTTCCCCTTCCAACAACAGAAAGCTACAATTTATTTAGCGGTTGGTGCATAAGTATGTAACTGAATGTGCTAAAGTGGGTGTATGAGTGTGTGTGTGTGTGTATTGATAAATGACCAGTGAAACCAAGGCGGCGTATGCGTAATAAGCAGATGTTAACAATAACCAAAGATTATATTTGTTTGAAAAATATCAACACAGAGTATAAGTTTTAAATACATGTCAAAATATTTGCAGTTTTAAAATCAAGCTTAAATATGTAAATATATATCCAATATAACGTGTTCATTTTTTAATAATTAATATTATTATAATAGTTAATATTTCCTTTCCTCTTTTAAGTCTGAAGAAATAATACAAATCGAGTTATTATATAAGCCATATATATGCTATCACAAATCTATTCAAATTCTTAAATAATTTAATACATTTTCTTAATACAATTCTTAACTTTTAAATACTAAAAATACTTTATTAAATAATTTAACACATTTAATATGCCAAAACTGCAGAATAAAATATATTTTATATAATTTAGCAGCAACACAAAATCTATTCAAATTATTTTCTTAAAGACTTTTGTAGATTTAATACACAATGATTTGTACGGCAACATTGTAGCATAAAATATAAAATAAATTAGACTGTCAGCATCAAGAAATCTTTTCAATTCTATTCTTATGAGAAAAAGCAAAAATATATATTCTTATGAGAAATTAACTTTTAAATATTTTATTAGATTTAATTAAGCTAAATGCCAAACTTTCAGCATAAGATATATATTAAAATAACTATATATTATCTGACAGCAACTGAAAATTAACTATGTAAATAACCATTTGCCGACTCGTCATTAAAATGCTGTTAACTTATCAGACGTTAGCAGATTTCGACATTTCATTGACACCAGCTTGAGATAACGTACATTAATTTAACTACTACGTCAACTAGCATTAGCTTTAATTGGAACATGAGAAAAAATAAATAGATATTTTGTAATATATCAAAAAAGAAGAAAAAAATACCGCTGTTTTGACTTGAAAAAGGTGCCGACTGAAATGTGAAGCGATTTAAATTAATTTACGAGCTTGTGATTGCTCAAATGGCTTCAAGGTGCACAAATACCAAATCAGTGAGTTTATTTAAGCTGGTTTTGCTCTTTTTCTTTTCTGATTTGACCAAAATGCACAACAATAAAGTTGCTTAATCCGCACGCGATGCAAACGAGGAGTGAGCAGGAATAGAGAGAGAGAGAGAGAGACAGTGGGTGGGGGGAGGAAGGGGTGCCGAGGCCTGGCAGCAATTTGGTTGCAGGTGTGCACGACCAATAATTCACCCAAGAGTGGCATGCAACAAACTGTGGCACGAACAAAGAAATCACTTGCCGCACCAAGCCCCACAAAAGTAAAAGAGCTTAAAAAAAACAGATCTTTTGTGAGGCGGTCGATCTATGAATTTGGTGTTGGTAGCAACTAAAAAGCACAATGGATCCGCATATAAAAAAAATACTTGCATATATGGCTCGAAGTTGGCTCGTGGGCGTTGCGCGGTAAGCAGGAAGTGGGAATGACAGTTTCATAATTGGACTTGAAGTTAAAGATATGTACTGGGCATATATGCTTCTTACTTTAGTGACATAGGCAGCTGACTAACCCAACACTTTAGTCTAGACTCAGGCGCTTGACAAAGTTGCTTCGACAAATTTAAATGGAATCGTAAAAACAAATGCTAAAAACAACGACAGAAAAACCAGTGAGAGAGAGAGGGAGAAACAGAAGGAGAGGGAGGGAGAGACACCCGACAATCTGGCGGATCGTAAAAACATTTTTCTTTAACACTAAAAATTAGTTGGGGAAGTTGTAAAAATTATATGGTTATAGCCCGAAAAACAAAAAGAACAATAATGGAAAAATTAATATTTATATTTTTCATATAGAGACATATTTATATTTAGATTTTTTGCGCAATTGACAAAGTGGTTTTTGTTGGCCACTTTTGGTGTTGAACAAATTAATAAGTGCCATAAGTAAATGCAGCTGTGTGTGTGTGTGTGTGTGTGTGTGTGTGTGTGTGTGTGTGTGTGTGTGTGTGTGTGTGTGATACTACTCTTAAGACTCACAAGGAGCCTGGCTATAAAAAATGAGCCATGATTTGTGGCAGGAAATTACACAGACGCCGAGTGGGTTAAGTGGAGTCCATTTTTTATTTACACCTCTATACATATATATCTATATCTAAATATATATATATATATATATATATATACATGCATGAGCAATGAGTTCGTTCTGTTACAAATGTGCTGCTTGATAAATACTAATGCGGGTCTAACCTATTTAGAATCCGCAAACTGTGTATGCTAAGTAATAATCTGCTGAGCAGAACAAGTTGGAAGTTGGTAGTCGACTCATTTATACCCTAACCAAAATCATTCATTCTAAGTAAAATCTATAAATCACATATACTACATCTTCCACCGTATTTTGAATATATATCAGAAAGAAAATCCATAAAATGGAATATATGACTTGAAGATACCCAGAAAAACTATCTCCAGCACTCTAAACATTTACGATTGTTCCAGATCTCAATTGCATTTCATAGAATATTAAAAAACATTTTTAAACGAATTTTGTGCTTTGAATTCCATATTTGACATCTTTATTATTTAAATGGATTCGAAGATGTGCAGAAAATACGAAATGATTAAAAGAGAATAAGAGCTAGAAGTCGGACAGAATATCTAACTTTCAGTAATTGGTTATGCCTCATATGGTATGCTAGGAAACAAATCACAGCTTATATATTAATTATTTATATAAAACTCGTGAATATTTATCAAACAAAGCAATGTAAACGTAATTTGAATAAATTAAAATGTAGACAAGGGGTTTGTTGAATTTCGTATATTTAATATTTACATACGAATACTATGATATATACATCTACAATTGGCTTTAGGAATCTGCGCTTAACTGCATAACATTTTTATACCCATTTTAAAAGATTTTAATGGCTACAGGGTATTAGAAAAATGCATGCATATATAACTCACTTTATTGATACGCACACACTCACATGTATATGGAAACATATACATACATGACAAAGACGAGAACGACTCCTGTATGCTGCGCATGTGCAACTGCAACTACAACTGCAACAGCGTCGGCAACAGCTGAGTGCAAGCGAAACCGAAACCAAATACGAAGCGAACCCAAGCGATGGGAAATAAATAAACAAACAAACACACACACAAAGGGTGAGGTGGAGTTGAGGATGGGGCTGGGAACGAAGTGCAAACGTTGCCACATAAATTGCACAACGTTCAATGAACTTTTTCAATCAGACGTCGCACAAAATGGAACTGCAACGGCAACTGCAACTGCAACCGCAGACGTAGAACGTGACTGGATTCTGACGATGACGAAACAACAGGGCGAGGATGCAGTGCAGCATCTGGAGGCAGTAGCAAACAGCAACCAGCAAGCAGCAGCTGCAGCAGCAACAGCAGCAACAGCAGCAGCCGCAGGTCTATTGTACATATGCGACGGCATAATCAAGATGCCATTTAGCGAATTTGCGAGCAGTCACCAGAGTTGTTGTGTGTGTGTGTGTGTGTGTGTGTGTGATTGAGTGGGTGTCCCCCTCTTTCTTTTGGTCCGAGAAAAGTGATGCTTGGTAATCGATACACGCATTGTTGCCCTCATGTCGTGCGGTCTGCGCCTCAAAAGCCTGTCAGCCAAAACAGCTGCACGCTTGGCTTGAAGAAGCTTCAATTAACCTCCAACTGCAACACAGACATAGACCGTGGAAGAGGGTGCGGGAGGGAAGCAGAGAATACAGCAGAGTTAGGCATTCAGAAGCTTATATACCCTTTAAGATAGGAGTCCAACTACTTACATCTAAATTGCAAAACATCACGTAACAAAATGTTTTTTAGTTTTGGAGGCTTTCAAACAAAAATATTTAAAAATATTAACTATGTAATCAAAGCGAAAAAAATAGCAAAATATTTATATAATTAATAAAAAATCGAAAAATGTACGGAATCTCAGACAACTAACACCAAAGTCATTGTTCAAGCTATAATTTGATAATAGTGCTATTTGTTCGGAAAAGTATTCTTCAATGCGTTACAAGCTTCACGACAAAAGTGCCAATATTCTTTACAAGTGTATAAAAAGAAAGAGACTGGTAGATTTTCTGGGAAACATTACAGCATCTCACTGCTAAGCATTTACATAGAAGATTCTTGCGCGCAGCTCGGATTCATTTGCAGCTGCTTATGGGCCGGGTCGAGCCGAGCCGAGACGGGCCTTGGTCATGTGGCTTTAGAATGGACGTGTCTTTGTGGCTGGCTGACTGGCTGCCCATAAATCAAGTGGACTCCACTGGCTGCGCGCCTGCGCCATACTTAGCGCTATTAAAGCGTCACGGAAGTCGCAACGTGATCGGTGAACGGCAGCCAGCAGCGTGGTAACGACTACGACTACGACTACGGCCATGGAACGCTCGTCCAACTTATGGGTATGCTCAGCAGAAACCAAGCACAGTCCAAGCACCAGTTAGCATGGGAAGTGCAGAGTAGAGTTTAAGCTCAAAACAAAACTAGCTCGAAAACTTCAAGCCATAATAGCGATTGCGGGAATTGTTTTGAATGCAACGCAAGTTGCGATGCTGATTCTGAATGAAGACTTTGAGCGGGGGAAAACCAGATTAAAGTCATACAATATTGTTATAAATTAATGGCAATTGCCCCTTCACCAGCCAGGAGCTTTATCTTATTTAAGAATTCTTCAATAAAATATGAAATATTAAATTATAAAAACGTTAAACAAGTAAATTAAAGCAAACATTCATAGAGCTCAAGGCCTTAGCTGCTATTGCTATTTAATAATGGCTAATTTGAAGTTTTAGACCATAACAATAAAAAATAATAATTGGTTCGGATGTCATCTTTAAAATGTTTGATTTACGATCTTGAATGATTGAGTAATATTTCTCCAATATCGCCGGAGGAATACGTCTCATTTTGAAATTATGATGTAAAGTTAGACATAGATGGAAGGGACCCAAAATGGTGTTACATACACTTAAGAACGTTTAGGACTAGGTTTAATATAAATATATAAAAGATACCAAGTCAAGCCAGTGGCATATTAATAATCGTAAACATCCAAAGCACAGTTGGCTTATCAGCAAAACTCTCAGCGAAATCAATCATCAATCATCTGTTTTAGTTTCCAAAGAATCAGAAATGTTATTAGCCAATTAGAAGATTAAAGATCAATTAAAATTTGGATTAAGACTAATCTTTCAAAGATGAAATAACGCCAAAACTCATTGAAAAAGACGATGAATGATAGCAATAGACATTACCGTAAGTACCTAAAACTAATAAACATTCTCAACGAAATCCACATCATTTAAGTAATTGATTGCTTAAAAATAACTCAGTTATAGTATCTTCAAATACGGAGATCACAGAACCCCACAGCTCTATTAGTAAAAGTTAAAATTGTTACAATGGTATCAATGTAAAGATCAACTCAAAAGGCATATACATCATTTCAACCTTGACTTCTTACTCCATTCAGATGGATTATCTCAGAAGCATTCTCACAAGATTTATTAGTCAGACACATGAAAGAGATAGACGCGCCGCAGTTTAAAAACTTTCGCGAAAAAGATCGCGATTCAGGTTGGTAACTTTAGCAGTGGGTTGTAACTGCATGTGAAGAGTGCATTCATTGGCTTCATTTAATTTCAGGACGGGGAGTTCATCAATCTCTGGGCCGCTGGCGTGATGTGTTTTGAATGGCACTCGTTAACGAGTTCAAGTGGCTCTCCTCCGAAGCCTCGACTGTGTGGGGTTCAAGAGGTGTTTGTTTCACAGGCTTTTTGCATGCCAAGTTTTTCTCACACGACACGCGAAAAACCTGCGCTTTTTTGCATTTCCCTTCGGGTGCGGGAAAGTGGCTTAAAATTGGGTCAAGCTACAGCTGTGTGAGTTATAGTTTGAGGGGGCTTTATAAAAATGGCAATGATGTGGTGGGGTTTATGGGCTACTCTAATAATATCTGTGTAATTGGATTGGGTCTGTTACCAAAGCACTATGTTTTTACCCAAGCAAGCGAAGGTGAACCAGCACCAAGGGGGGGTTTTGTTTTCTAGGGGTAACGAAGAGTTTATCTACTGCTGTACTCACCTTATCGCCGGCACGTTCCAAGGTCAGCGTTGGCTCATTCTCCAGCGAGCGCGCCTGATGCACCAACTGTATTTTGCCCTGTGAGATTTGTATATAGTTTGCCGGCGGCATTATATCATGCACATCGTCCTTGTCATCCTCATCGCCATCCTTCTCGTTTTGCCTGCAAAATAAAAAAATAGAAAAGAAAATATTGCGTTTGATTAATGACAAACAGCAACAGCCTTCAACAAGCTCATATACATTTTATTTCTTGTCATAACCAAAAACTGCAGCCGCTGTGTCTGCAGTGAAAACTGGCTCGACAAGTTTCAATAAAGCGTAGATCGTGTGGGCTGAAGATCGTATCAGCTATCGCGTAAAGCTACATAGCTGAAGTATTTCCCAATGCCCATAATCGGCACCGGGCACCCCCAAGAAGTGTCAAAATTATTGTATTGCCTTAGCTGGCCCAGCTGGCCAAAGCGACAAAGCTTTGTAGCCGCTAATCTGGAGCGAAGTGTTGCAATACACACAAATCTCCAAGTGCCAGAATTAAGGCACAACTTAATACACACATAGACACACACACACACACACACAGTCAATAATACTATCAAAATGCGCTGCACAGTGCTTCATAAGTGTATAAAAGTTGTGATGAAATCGAAAACTAACTGGGTGCAAATAGTTTAATCAACTAACTGGGTGCAATAGTTGGGAATTTCGACGTTCCAATAGACGAGTAACAGCAAAGTGAGCGTACACTCTACAAAAAATCATCTGAAATTGGAAAATATCCCTAAAAACTATAAGCAGTTCTTCAATTTAGAGATAATTCCTAAATATTCGAAAATAAATGTCTTAAATTAAAAAAGGATATTTATTGATTTTTCAGACATTTAATTCTTAAGAATAGAAAATATTTATAAAAAGTAGAAATGCATATCGACTTTAGAGACTGGGTAAATCAGTGGGAAGTCACTCAAATAAATAAATAAAATTAATAAAACTTTAATTTCGGAAATGAAAGAAATTTTACCTAGCTGAAGAATATTTTGAATATTCTTTGATATTATTACCCACAATTTCATAAATTGCAACTATGCATGAAAGTTGAATATGAATGCAGTTTGATATTAAGAAAACAACAACAATAACAAGAAATTTAGACCTTAATACCAGTGTGCCTGTGTTTCAATAAGAATGTAAGGCTTGCCAACAAGATAACGATTATTGCACCTACAAATAATCTGAATTTGAACTCCAGTGCGAGTTGTGAGCTGTGGTGTGAAATCAGAGACTACCACTGTGCCTTTGGCTCTGGCCCAATAAAAGTTGACAGCGTTGCCACCCTGTAGCAGAGTTGACGTGACCCAATATTGCCAACTAGCTGACAAAGATATCGATTATGGCCAGAGCACCTGCGAAATGCCCTGACAGGCGCAAGGAATATGCGTGCAATAGATAATACATATATCCTTAGCTTGCACTAGTTTGCATGTCAGACGAAAACTGTGGACAGTGGTTATAGCGTGCGCACATGTCGGCCATAACCCGATTGCTAACAACGGCAAACGGCAAACGGCAAACGGCAACAGCAACAACAATTTGCTCGTTATTTTCAAATTGAATTTGCGAGTTAAGTGCAAATAATTTGATAAAATTGGCACTTGAAGGCATTCGAGTGGGCAACAGCACACAAGCCACAGCTAACTCCAGCTTCAACGATTGTGGCCAAATTGTGCCTTCGAGTTGGCTGCGTGCACTCAAGCCAAGCCAAGCCACATGTTACACCAACTGCCTGGCAATCCAGTTTTTGGCCAACTCTAACGCTCAACTCTCTTTAGCGACCACCGCTGCAAACTAGAGTCAAATAAATGGACAGTTGAAAAATCTTACAAGCAAATCGCACAAAATGCTTCGTTTCGTTTCGTGTCCGGCTGTCCGGATAGTTGCATTTGCACTTGCTACACTAAGAAAAAAATAAATCACTGCGATACATAAGATTTTCTGATAAGAAGTTCTAAGAATTAAAAGAATGATTGTATAAGATTTTTTTTATTACAACTATGCAATTTTCAAAATAATTTTGGAACAATCGTGATAATTTTGACTTGGAAAATGAATTGCTATTCTATAAAATTTGGACTTGGAAAAATAGACTTAATTAATTCAATTATTTACAACTGAACCATAGATTATAAGAAGTGCTCCAATTTATGTAATCTTTTCCGTTTCGGCTTATACTAAAAAATTGGACACTCGCTAAAAAACTGAAAGCATTTTCGTTATCAAAAATGGGAAGACGGCTTTATACTTATTTTTATATATTTTTATGTTTAGTTATATTGCTTTGCTTATTTCCTTTTTTGCAGTGTAGCTACGCAGTGACCAAGTGGGCAGTGGTCAAAAACGTTGACTCGCGTCCAGTTTTTGTTTACTCACTTTGCTTCTCAAATGCTGATGCTGCTGCCCACGTGCCCAGTGCAGAATTTCTATGCGCCTTTGATTTATGATCATCAAATAAAGCAATCAAAATCAATTTAACTGTTATCAAGCTAGCCAATTATCAACTGGACTTTGCTTACGTGACTCATCATGTGCTGCCTGCCGCGCCACACATTTGTGGCAAACTTAATTAGTGCGGCGGCATCAATGCTGCCTCATCAATGCTAAAGTCAAAAAGGCCAACTAATGGCATTTCAGTGCTTTAATTAAAAGCCAACTAAACTGAACGACACATTGCATATGCAACTTATATATCCCCATCCTACCCCCAACCCCCACCCATACCCGCTATCCATCCCTCTGTCGTTTAATCAATTGACAGTGAAATAGCGTACGTCTTGCTAGGTGCATAGTGCAGACATTGCACTTCAGGAATCTAATTTAGCAGCCGTGACTCACACTCAATCTCCGGGCACGGAGCGGTTCGTTTGGTCGTTCCTTTTAAGGTGCAGTCAGTCCCCGGCACTCCACTCCGCCCGCTCCTGGAGGCAGACAACAGCCAAAGCATTTGCATTCCCATCAACTTTGCTTCCGTTGGCACATAAACAATAAAGAATGCACACACTACGCATACACTATTATAATGATGTGTGTGTGTTTGTGTATGTGCACATACATATGTGTATCTGTATAATGCTGAAAGAGCATGATTGACTCTTGCACATCCGCACTTGGTTCCAGTTTTGGGTTCATTAAAGTTTAAGTAAAGAATAAATAGTATTCGATTATGACAAATATTGGATTTTATATTGAAAAGATACAATTAAATTTTATTTATTTATTAATCAACTTTGAATATTTTCCTGGAAGTTACTATAGGATGAATGGATTATGCTAAACTGGTGAAACATTAGCAGACCGAGGTCTTTGAGAAAAAGTGGAGTATAAAGGTATTTGGTCAGTCGCTATCAAGCAAAATGTTTTTATTTAAAATATAAATGGCTAATAAAAATGACGCCCCAAACCAAATTAATATGCCTTAAATTCGTCATTTGGTAAGGGTAGCATGCCACATACACTGACACACATAAGTATGCAAACAAGCACAAATAAATGGAATAAATATATGGAACTATATATATTTCAGCTTGCTGCTGTTATCGTTGAATGTTGCACATTCGTCAAGCGTGCAATAATTTCAACTTCAAAAGTGGGGGGGGGGGTAAAGGGTCCAGGGAGGAGGAGGAGGAGTAGCTGTCAGTTGTTCCTCTTTCCTCGGCTTGGTCATTCGGTTAATCCGGCACTCTTCTGTGGCACATTCGTTTACTGATTATGCGTTTTATGTGACGACCATAAATTTTCGCTGTTGGCGTCCCAGCCCCTCCCCACTTCCTTCCCTACACTCCACCAACGCCTTTCTGTGTCCGGCGCTTATCAATGGGCAGTGCAGTTGGCATAAAAATAAATATTGCACAGAGAGAAAGAATGAAGCAAAATAATACAAGAAAAAAGTAGCTGGAAGCTCTTTCGGTTTGCATTTAATGGCAATTTCTTTTCTTTTTTTTTTTTTAAATGACTACAAATAAGCCGCACAAGGCGCTTACTTCTCAACTGGCCGATCTGAGGCTGAACTGCGACCCTTAACAGCGATTTATGGAATGTAATTACGTTGTGGCTTCAGCAGTAATTGGGGGTTGTTCATTTAAGCTGCATTGTTGTATATAGATACACCATATATATATATATATGTATATATATAAATATATATATGTATAAATACCAAGTGGCTTTTTAACTGTTTATGGCACTTGGCTAATATAACTCTCAAGATAAGTTCAATGTAAAAAAGCAAATGACACAAAAAGTTAATTCTCCAATTAAATTTTCCAATCAAAAGAACGGTTGTCTTTAGCCGAAGATTACATACCCTTCTAGATAGGAATTAATCTGCCCACATTTACTTTTTTTTGGAGCTTAAAATATTCTGTTTTGTAAGTTTAGAACACGTCTTTTTATTTATTACAATTATTTGTAAGCAAAATTTTCGATTTTCACACATATTTAAAAGATTCGTTTTATACAAATATGTTTTGAATGATTCCAGTTTGAGATTTAGTTTTGAAGTAAATATTCCACAGTTGTGTATATAACTATTGTATCAGAAATTCTGACATATGTCTGCGACTAAATTTAAATACACTTTACAGGGGTATAAAAAGTCTATAGAATTCTTTAACGATGCATGCTTTAATATGTAAATCTTAACTAGCTTAACCAGTCAATATATAAAAGTCTGGATTCAATGCTGCATTATTAAAGCATTTATATTTAAGTCTTTATTACAGCTGTCAACTAATTAAAACTTGCATTAAAAGCTGTTTAAACGTGTCTTTTTTTCGTTGTCTATGCGTAATTTGTGTGTGGACCCATCAATACACACACACACACACACACACATACACTAATACATAATTACTGGCTATTTTGAAGTATTTACACCCAAACAAAATGATAAATTTACATAAAACGCGTTGAATTAATTCGACTGTCATGAAAAGCTGCCCAAAAACGCCCATACAGAATGCACGTGAGTGTGTGTGAGTGTGTGTGTGCGTGTGTGTGTATTGTTTGTGTGTGTGCGAGAGTGTTTAAATATTTAAAGCGCTGACAATGAGGTCGACAGTGCAAATAATTTACAGTTCTGCAATAATTTTCGACTGCTATTCGAAAGCT